TTCTGCATCCAGATCAGCAGGCAGCAGGAAGAGAGACACTGAGCCCCACTTGAACATTTGAAACCACAAAGTCTACCCCCAGTGACACAATTCTTCTAAAAAGGCCGTATTTACTCTGATAAGGCAACACCTCCTAGTAGTGCCACTCTCTATGAGCTCATTGGGGCCATTGCCATTCAAACCACCATAGCACCTGTCTTAAGAACTTTTACATTCCTGTGCTAAAACAACATGACCAAAGCAATTAATAACGGAAAGCATTTAATTAGGCTTACGGTTTTGAGGGATCGGAGTTCACTACCATCATAGTAGGGAACGTGACAGCAGACAAGTAGGCACTGTGCTGGGGCGGCAGCTGAGAGCTTACATTCCAGCTCAGAAACAGGAAGCAGTGAGTTCATTAGAGATGACTGGAGCCTCAAAATCCAGCCCATATGACACACATCTTCCAACAACGCTATAACTCCCAGTCCTTCCTAAATAGTTCCACCAACTGGGGAGTCAAACATATGAGCCTGTGGGGGCCGTTCTCATTCCAACCACCACAGCAACTATGAGGTCCTTGTAAGCACAGCTAGTTTCTGCTGATTATCTTTCCAAGCACATACACAGTAACCCCAAATAAAGAATCCCTTAGGGATTTAGAGAAGTACAAAGTGAAGGGTTATGATTATCTTTAAAGCATGAGGTGTGATGACTATGTTTGACTGGCCTCTTTCATGAGTTAAGGCTCAGCGCCTGGACAGTGAAATCAAGTCAGGTGTAAGTACTTGTGGTTAGACCTTGTTCAACTTGCTTAATCTAGAGTTATGAATTCATATTTTGGCTTCCTGTATTTTCAGTGCTAGAGTGTCCAGAAGAGAATCTGATGAAACCAGGAAGGCAGAAGCAAAAACCTAGCAGTTCCCTTACTCAGATGTGGTAACAGGGAGGTTGGCACTTTCTGGGTCATTCTGTCTCCTTCACTTCACCTTTAGCTCTCTCAGCTGCCAAATCTGTTTGAGCAACCATAACCACAAGCAACCAACCAACAGAAGAATGACTGTTCACAAGGAGTGGAGACAACAGAAGCAATAGATCCCTTTACCATTCCACTTAGGCAATGAATGGGCCTCATGTTTCTGCTTAATTAGCTGGTGACTCCTTCCCCTTTGGTCTAGTGAATTGGACTGGATTACTGTTTTATCAGTTCTAAAGGCAAGTATAGGGGGGCTTAAGCAAACTTAACCCTGGAACTCAGGAGGATGTCCAGTCCTCTTACTAAATCCTTACTGGATATCATCATCAGTTCTGAAAGTCAGTCCAGTGAAACAGAAGCCTGATAATGAGACTTTAAATTTGATTCTCTAATCTGCCTAAAGGTAAAAGAATCGGAGACACTGTTGGTAATAAAATGGCGGCTCATAAGCTGGGGACTGGTGGCGCATGCCTTTAATCCCAGCACTTGGGAGGTAGAGGCAGGCAGATTTCTGAGTTTGAGGCCAGCCTGGCCTACAGAGTGAGTTCCAGGACAGCCAGGGCTACACAGAGAAACTCCGTCTCGAAAAACCAAAAAAAGAAAAAAAAAAGTTCTGTTATTCTGAGAAAAAAAAAAAAAGGCGGCCCACGGTTCAAAGCAGCAAAATGGTTACGTCACAGACCATGGAAAACTGAGATCTACACGCAGAATGTACAATTCAGACTCCTGACACTGTATACAAAAAATTCAATTCACCAGGACTGCTGGCCCAGGTTTGTAATCCCAGAGACATGGGAAAAGGAGGATTTCAAGTTCAAGGCTTGTCTGGGCCTCATTGAGTTAAAGCCAGCTTGGATAATTTTGTAGGATTTGTTGCAAAAATTAAAAAAAAAATAAAACAAAAAACAAAGACCAAATAAACAAAAATAATAAAAAGTAAGAAAGGGCTGGGCACATGGCTTAATGGTAGAAAATAAAACAAAATTCCTTGAAAGTGGATTAAGGACATAAATAAACACAAGTCTTGAAACTAAAACCACAAATAAGAAAATGTAGGGGAAGCCTTCACAAAATTGGTCGTAACAAAACAATTTAAAAACTTAAAAAATAAGCCCCTTTTATTCAGCCTTAGATGCTAAGGCATTTGTACATGCTTCAGGCTCAGAGCATACATTTATTATTTAAGACTTTAAATATGACCCCTCTACACATTAAAAAAAAAAAACCATGAAAATTTATAAATCCCCTACAGACTTCTTTTTGGTTGCTCACTTCCTCTTTTTATCCAATCACCCAGTGAAACAGCCAAGACCAGCCCTGTAACCTACTCTCCTGCAGAAGCCCAGAGGAAGAACCAGAGCCCTGGGGGCTTCCTGCAGTCCAGAAATCTATATCCAGACCACGGGACATGTCTCATGACTTCTGCAGATGTTTGCTCATGCTCTTTATGCTCAGAGGCAAGCAGTTCACTGTGCTGAGGCTGTTGAGTTTTTGATAAGGTTGGGTTGTTTTTTCCTCTCTTTGCACTCATCTGAACCAGCACTGGCACTCTTCCTCTTAGGGAAAGATTGAGGCCCACAGAAGTCAGCCTAAGAAGGACTTCACCCCTGCAGCTGGCCTGCATCTACAGCGCCAGGGATGCTGGGAGCTGCTTGGGCTCTAGGGCCAGGAATGCTGGGAGTTGCTTGGGTTCCACCAGAGAAATCTGATCTTGCTGAAATCATGACTTTTGTTGTTATAGAGCGTAGTCTGCTGCGCGTGCTCTGGTCTCAGACCTATCATCACTAAGCAGGAGTAGGCACATGTGGGTGGAAAGATGGCTCACTGATTATCCTGGTTGTTCAGAACTGGTTGTTCTTCTGGAGAACCTTTGTTTGATTCTCCCAGACCTCCATGGAGGCTAACCTGGGTGACTTTTAAACTATTAAGTTCGGCTGACAGCACGAGGCAGCACAACCTTGGCCATCTCTGAAACACATCTTTTGTGTGTTGGTCCTGAAGAAACGCGTCCCAAAAGATTTCACCTCAATGATCTCTTCTTAATCACAGCTGATTCTTCAGCCCTAACTGTCCATCATCCATTGTCCCAGAAGAACAAAGTTCTGGTCTCTTGTAAATCACAGCTGGTTCTTCAGCTCCAGCTCACCAAACACCATGGATTTTTCACACAAATGGCCTCGTAGAATCTTTGCTTCCCTCTGAAACTTCACAAGCCAGGCCGCCATTTCTACACTGCTCTCCACATTCTTATCCGTCTAGCTTCTACAGAACAGTTCATTGAGTTCTCAACACTCAGTGGCTGGATTCCAACGTCCTTCCAATCCGCCCCTAACCAACATGTCCAGGTCTGTCACAGGAATACTGGGGCTGGAGCAGGAACATGGGGGCTCATGTTTCCTTTCTTTTTTTCATTCTTTCCTTCCTTTCCTCTTTCCCTTTCCTTCCTTCCTTCGTTTTTTGAGTCAAGGTTTCCCTGTGTAGTCAAGGGTGTCTTAGAACTCACTATATAGACTAGGCTCGCTTAAACTCACAGTGATTGGCTTGCTGCTGCCACCCAAGTGTACCACCACACTCATCTGGGTGTTTCCCTTTTTAAGGTCTTTTTAAGGTCTCTTGTTAGATTAAGTCAAGAAGTCAAGTCTATTCAAGATATTCTCTCTTTCAACTCAAAATCAATCTAGGATCTTTTTTTTTTTTTTTTGTTTTTTCGAGACGGAGTTTCTCTGTGTAGCCCTGGCTGTCCTGGAACTCACTCTGTAGACCAGGCTGGCCTCGAACTCAGAAATCCGCCTGCCTCTGACTCCCAAGTGCTGCGATTAAAGGCATGTGCCACCACCGCTCGGCCCAGGAGTTGTTTCTTGAATTTCCAATTCCTTGGTTTTGCCTGTGTAACGTCCTAATTGAACTGTCAAGCACAGGACGATAAGGAAAGCTGCAAGCTTCTTGGAGTCTCAAGCTCCAGATGACCTGGGAGTATGTGGCCCCAGGTTGTCCTTGTTCTCTCAAGATCTGCCTCATCCTCCCTGACTGCTGCTCAGAACTGAGCCACAGCTACCCGAGGGAGTAGATCTCCTCGGCACTGACAGCTACTTAACTTTTGGAACACAGTGATTGCTTAAGTTACTTTTGAACAAATACTTTAAGGGAGATGTTAAGTTTAAAGGATTAAATTTTACACCAAATATTTTTTTTTTCTGACTCTTACTGATTTACAGAACATACTTAGAATCTTTTTTACACTCTAGCTTCTCTCAATTTTGGAAACAGCGACTCTTATCTCTATTTCAGAGATACGTGAATTTATGAGGTGTGAGGGTATGATTGGTAGTGCTAGCTCTGTTACAGATTACTCCCCAAAAGATGTTTACCTCCACATCTTGATGATTAACACATTTAGTGAACTTTCAGCGATACCTGTAAGCAACACTGGAGAGCTTGAGGCAAATCGATTTCAAATTCCAGATCAGTATGGGCTATGTGGCAAGTTCAATGCTAGACTGGGCTAGACTGAATCTTCCTCAATAAAACAAAAAAGGTAAAAAAAATTTTTTAAAATGTTGAATAAATTACCGTACTCTAGGCTTCTAGACTTTATGGAAAAATCTTTCCACTTTTTAAACACTCACCTATTTCTTTTCTCAAGTCTCATGGAGGGGTGACCACTAAGGAATCTCCATGCAAAAAAACCCAAAAAACCAAACCAAAACAAAAAAACAAAAAATCAAACAAAAAGAACCACCTCGAGGATAAAAAAAGCCAACCGGAAAAAAAAAAAATCACCTCCTTGGATGCGATTGAAAAGACGGCAGCGCCACCATCTCAGACGGGCCTCATTTTCAAGGCAGGAGGCGTGGCCAAAATCTCTCATTCAAATAAAAAAGCAGGAGATTTGCATGGAGAACAGGCATCGCGCGCGTTCATTGGCCGATCGCGCAGTGGGTGGAGTACATAGTGCGCCCACGAAGCTCCGCCCCATCTATTTGCATAACGGCCCCGGCGCGTGCTGGGGAGAAGCGGGTTTGTTTTTGAATCTGCGGTGGCGGCGAGTGGAGCGCACGGCTGAGACGGCAGCGTCCGGGACGGCTGCACGGGACGGCTCCGTAGGAAGGAACTCGGGTCCCAGGCCCTCACCTCCCGCCCCCGAAGGTATATGCGAGTGCCAGGGGCTGTTCTAACCACAGTCGGCGAAATGACTATTGTATTTCGGAAGAGTCAAGACCGCATTATGGCGGCTGCGGGAGTTGAGTGTGCGCCTGCGCGGTTGCGAAGCTGCGGGCGGGCGCTGCATGGGAGCACGTGATCGCTTGGGGTCGGGCTCTAGCTGCAGTTGAGCAGCTGGCCGGGCGGTGGCTGCGCAAGCGCAATATTCATTTTCAAGAGCTAATGTTCTTGTTGGACGCCATTTGGGTTCTAGATTTAATTTTTCTCATTCTCGAGGGGGTTTCATCTCGTGCCTCTTCTTTTCACATTATCCGAGGAAAACGTTTCTCTCGTGTCGTACACATACCCGCACCTTAAAATCCTTTATTTCTCTGACGGTCTCACCGATTGCAGACTTGATTTTTTGGTACAAATTACCTCTTGTGGTTCTCGATTATAATTTCGCGTTTAGTTAGGTATTTCTGGATTCGCGTTCCATTTAGGGAGATAAGATCGGCACCTAGTGGTGTTCTCGGGGGAAGTGCATTTACTTTAGCTGCACTTTTGTAAATACATTTTTAACCCTGTTTTTACCAGTTCGCTTTTGGATGTGCAGTGTTAACAAAATAGAAACTTTTACAAAATAGAAACTATTTTATTTTTGAATTGTTAGTTTCAGAGGGCAAGAAAAGAATGTACAAATTAACTTGAAATCTCAGTTTTCTCAGGTATATCTTTCTCTCTCTCTCTTTTTTTTTTTAAAGAAATATTTCACCCAAAGTAAATAAAGTTTTAATTCTGAAGAGTTTGCCATGCACTTGAATCTTTCATGTTTTTAGGTTTACTATGTCTTCAGTTAGATAGATGTTAAAAATAATTAATGAACTCGTTTTCTCATTATTTTGTGATGACGTATAAGCTGTTGTACCTCATACCGTTTTTTTTGATGAAGAATTTTACAAATAACTCCAAGTTACATTGAGGGCCTTATGCATTGAGGGAATCAATTAAACATTTTGAGTTTTTAAAAAAGTATGTGCACTGTAGTATATGTGTATGATGTACGCTTTAAATATTTTTTAGCTGTATATGTTCTGGTTTTAGTTTCTTAAAATAACTATGGGTGTGCTACTGATGAAAGTTCTGATGCCACTAAATTTCAATTGTATGTAGCACAATTGGGTCAATATACATATAATTTAATATCATTTTCTTATTCTACCACTTGTTTCTTACTAGTCTAAAAACTTGTAAATGGCTTCATAAACTTTATCTGTCATTCATATGTACAGTCACTTTTTTGGTTGATTATGTAACCCAAGTGTAAATTAGTCTGTTGTCAAATTAAGTGCTGTTGCATATAATGTTGATTGGTTTGGGATATCTCTATTATTACCTGAAACAAATATTGTTAGAAATAATAGGATATATTTGAAAGGAGCACTTTGGGCTATTTTTTTTTTAAATGATGTGACATATGGCATGGAATGGAAGGATGGGGAAGAGTCTTTCCTTCTCCTGTAGCAAGCAGGTTTAAATGTGATGTAATGGAATTCTTGAGCCTCTGTTGTCTTGTACCCAGAATGAAGGCAGTTCTGCCTTTTTGAGACTGAAGCTTCTGAGGTGGTTCCCCTTCCCCCCCATTTTTGTACTCCTAGTACTTGAGTTTATATATTTAAACTTAACACTTTTGTTTGAATGCATGGGTGATTGCATCATGGGTTAATATTGAAGATCATAAGAGGCACTGGAAAATTATATAACATGCAATTTCAATATTGAGGGGACAGTTTTGCTATTATATTTCTTAGAAGGGAAACGTAATTTTAAGTTTACTAAAATTAATGAAATGTCTGAATGTCAGTGGTTGATTCTTTAGTATTTCAGAAACAAGTACTAAAAGTTTGAAATTTTAGTTTGGTTATGATTAAATATAGCTTTGACATACACTGCATGTGTGTGCGTGTATATATATATGTATATATATACACACATACATATATGTATATATGTACACACATACATACTAGGTTACTCAAATTATGAACAATTACTTAAGTTATTTAAAAATATAGTTTTGTAAATTTTAAATATGTAGTTTAGAAAAAAATCAGGCTGGAATGATTTAAGTCATAAAATTAAAATTTTATTTTTTAAACATGACTTGATTTTTGTACTATGTTTGAATATTTTACACTTACACATTATGAAGATTTAGTATTATGTTAATAATCACTCTTAACTATGGTGATCTTTGTGACTTCACTTTTGCTGTGGTAGATCTGTCTATCGATATTTATCACTATACACACACACACACACACACACATATATGTTTGTACCTAGTTCTGCTGGGATTAAGTGCCTGGCTCCAGTATGTTTTTAAATATCTGAAGGTTATTGGTGCTTGATGAGTGCTCCTGCTCAGTCAGTCTGTGGCTCTATTTCTACTTGTTCTCCCCGCCTCCTCCTCCTCCTCACAGCTTCTCAGACATAGCTCAGGCTGGCCTAGGCCCTAGGCTGTTCTTGCCTCAGTATCCTGAGTGCTGGTTACTGGCATTGTCAAGGCAGCTTGTTGCTTATTTTTCTAGTAGAAATTTTGTTACAGTAAACACATGGTGAACACAGGCCACAATCTGTAACAATAGCTGTTTAAAATTGATGTTTCTATGTGGGCCAGCAGTGGCACACAACACAGAAACCCTGTTTTGGAAAAAAATAAAAATAAATGTAAAAAAAAAAATCAGTGTTTCTAAGGGCTTGACAACAATAATTTGCAAAATAGAACAATGTAGAGATTTTTAATTTTGTTTGCTTTGTTTGTCCCCCCACTCCGGGGTGGGGGGCATTTTTCACACTGCCACCAGTTAAGGGTAGTCACTGACTTTAGTAAAGTTGATTTTTTTTTTCTGTGAACTGAACTGTTTTCAGGTGTGTGTGTATATATATGTGTATATGTGTGTGTGTGTGTGTGTGTGTTATTATGGATGTTAATGTTCCTTTCTGCTTGTCAGCAACAGCTATGCCAACTTCCCTATATATTGGAGCTGTTTTTATTTTTTTTTCTAACTTTTCAAACTATTTTGTCTTGAGAATTTTCTTCCTTCTATTTAGTTCAAATACCTTTTTTGCTTGTTTAAGTAAGGGTCTATCTGTGCAGCCCTGGCTGTCCTGGAACTCATTATGTTGACCAGACTGTCCTGGAATTGACAGAAATCCACCTGCCTCTGTCTCCCCCAGTGCTGGAATTAAAGGCCTGTGCCACCGTATCTGGTGGCACTGCCTTTTTAATTTATAATTTATTCCAGAGCTTCTCTGTAGACAAAGTATTGCCTCTTACGAGATGAATTTTTCCATTTCGTTTTCTTCTAGAACGGCATTATGATTTAAAAGTCATCTTGTGTGTATGACGTGTGTGCATGTACTCGTGTGGTCATGCTCCTCCTTGGCTTCTGTGTGGACTTCAGAGTAGCCGCTCAGGCGGCTGGCCTTGTTTCTGACTCCGTTTTGCCAGGATGCCTTAATTGCTGTGCATTGGGCTCTCCAGCCTAGGTGACCGGGGAGCTTCTGGGAAGTGTGTCTCTTTCTGTGAGAGCTCTTGGATTATGGATACTTGCACTACCATGTCTGATTCTGGGCTTTGAACTCAGATCCTTTTATGTCTCCAGCTCTACTTTGTTTTTTGAGACAGTGTTTCTCTGTGTAACCATGTTGGCTGTTCTGGGACTGGCCTTGAAATCACAGATAATCCCTCTGCCTCTGCCCTCCCTAAAATTGGGATTAAAGGTGTACACCACCATGGTCAGGTGAACACCACCATGGCCAGCCTAAGTATCTTTTAATTGACTTTCAAAATTGTTAAATTATCCACACGTGCATGTGCGTTTGCCTCTGTGTGTGTGTGTCTGTGTGTGTCTGTGTGTGTGTATACACAGATACAGGAGTGCTTACCTACCTCCTTGCAGAGATGGTCTCGTTAGTGTGGTGCTCACTGCCTAGTAAACCCTGGTACATCAACCTCCCAGTACAGAGATGACAAGTGCTACCGCTGTCTTCATCAACCTTCTATGTAGGTCCTGGGGTTGGAACAAAGGTCCTCAGAGTTGCAAGGTGTCGTAGGACCATACACTATATTAAATAGTAGATTGTTTTTACAATACTGTTTAACTAAAATACCCATGGCGTGTTCTCACAGTTGTATCAGCTAATGTGTGGTTTTGCAGATGAACATTAGATTCTTTTGTTTTACGTCAATTTCTGGTTTTTTTGAACATGTTGATAAGAAAGTAAGCCAGTTAGAAGCTGGAAAAGTAGGTTTCAAAAGAAAGTATTTCACCATATTTGAAACCATTATAATTTTGATTGGTAGAATTTTGAAAGTTATTTACTCAGTGTTTGGCCAGGATGGGACCAAATTTATTGCATAATAAATACAAAAATAATTTTACCTGGGAGCATTAAATTACTATACTTTTCTTACTTTCTATATACATTTGTTATTTCATTAAATTTTTTTATGTTGATTGCAGTGACTTATTAATTTTATTTTGTTTTTTTGCTGGCCTTAAATTTACAGAGATTCTCCTGTCTTTGCCTCTCAAGTTCTGGGTTCAAAGTCATGTGCCACCATACCTAGCTCATATTATTAATTACTAATGACATAATTATACTTTTAAATCATTTTTATATTAAAAGGAATCTGGTTACTGCCCAAATACTTACTGAACTTGTAGAGGCATGAAAAAAAGAAAAGAAGTAAAGAGAACTCAAATAGTCAAATCTTGCTGGCTTTGTGAAAATGAACCTAGGAAATAGATAGCAAGTGTTAAAATACTGGCATTTTATCCTGCCTTTGGGTTTTTACTTAGAAAAACTTAATTATTTGCTTTTTAAATGTTACCTTTGACCTTGGTGGAGATCTTTTCAGCATCCAGTGTATGACATAGAGCATTTGTTTCTTACCCTGGGACAAAAGTGCCCCTAAAAGGACTTTGATGAGGAGCAAG